TATATATATATATATAGGGGAGACCGGGTATGGTTGTAACACTTTTTGCTCCAGCACCTTTAACTCACAGAATTTTTGAGCTAGAGTTTTCAAACTTTTATACAAAATACCCACATTTGTTTACTACAAATGGCACCAATTCAAACATCTGCAAGAATATCACAGACCTCATGAGTTCATGTCAAATACATGGTGTCCCTTTGTTACAACCTACCCCGATAACGGGGTAGGTTGTAACACCTGCTGGGGTAAGTTGTAACAATTAGACAAAAGAAGCAAAAACAGAGGCTACAACATGTGATATGTTTCAAAAAGATGTTTACTGAATTAAAAGAACAATACAAGAACAATGTCTCTCTCTCTCTCTCTCTCTCTGTGTGACTGACCATAACTCAAATATCCTCTGTGTGTGTGTGCATGTGTGTAAATTATTCTACTAGAACAAACTTTCTTAACATGCCTAAAGAACACTGAACATGTAGGTATAACAAAAAACAATGTCAATGTGTGTGTGTGTTTGTGTCTATGTGTGTGTATCCTTAATCAGAGTCACAGTGGTGACAAATGAATGATGGTAGCCCAGGAGTGCAGGCTTGGTGGGCCCAGAGACTGCATAAGGCACATTTTACCCACACTTCCTGTGGCTTTGAGTTGCCAAATGGCTCCATGCAGACAATACAAAAATATTCATCGTCTGAGGTCTCAGAATCCTCAGCGTTGGCTTTTAACATTTTCTTGGCAGGCTTTCTCTTCTTCCTCTTTTGCTTGCCTTTATTCTTTGCAAAGAAACTCTTCCTTACATGTTTGCTTCCTCTTCTCTGTTCTTCTTCCATCAGTGCTTCTTTCACTGGTGTGTCATTGAGTATTTCAGATTTCCTTTTCTTCCTGATCCTGCCAGTTGTTTTCCTTGGCCCTGCTTTTGGAAATGGCCACATAGCCAAAGGATTGAATGCCTGATCAGGAGACACCCCCGAAGTGCTTGGCTCATCTGGAGCACAGGACATGTTCACATCAATAACTGCAGAGGAGCCAGAAGTAGTAGTCTCCAGGTGAGTTGGAGGAGAGGAGGCTGTCCCCAGGTGAGTTGGTGGAGACTGCGGCTGGAAAGCTCCAGATGTCAGTGATGTACCTGGGTCGGGACGGTCAGTGACTTGTGAGGGTGCATAGTCACACTCCTCAAAAATCTCAGGATTGAAGGGCCAAATACCTGTGGATTGGAAACCAGCTTGAATGTTTTTCGGTGTTGCAGCTGCAGGCAGAGCAGTCTTCACAATACTTGGAATATCATATATCGTCATCATCTTGGCAGGATTCATCTTCATCCAGGCATCACTTGCGGTGTTCACCATTTTCTTAAATGGGCCGTAGACACTGCGATCCAGTGGCTGAAGTTTATGGCTACAGTGGGGGGGGAAGGTAAGTAGCACTATTCCCTTTTCTTTGCAGAAATCAATAGCTTTAA